TGCAAAACACAGTATTGCCTAACTGGACAGATCTAAATAAGTGAGGTGAACTACACACTGTTTCAAACAGATGTCATATTATAGAGCTGTTTACAGTTTAAAAGACTAAAAATTATATTTTCCAGTTTGCAAAATTCATCTAACCCAAAATCTTTCTTTATAAGCCCCTGTTTGTTCCATAAAACTATAAATATGGCAATTTATTCCCTTGCCCTTTACTGCAAGCAAATGATAAAACACGTTTAGGGAAGTTGCGTGCTTTTCAGTGTAGCTACTTCAGTAATTCCTAGATAGCTAATTTGTATCAGCATGAGAGATTATTCCACTAATAAGGTTTAAATTAATCTATTGCAAAAGTACTGCCTCAGAGGGCTGCCAACATTCTGACCGGCAACACATTTATTTTTTCCTCTCTCAACTCACTGTTTGCTTTCCAGCTACATCATGCTTACTTAGCACCAAATAGCTTAATTTACTTCTATTACCTTTATATTGTGATTTTTTTTCCGGGACTTTTTTTTATCATCATGAATTTTGTCCTATCAAAGCTGTGTATCTTCTTTGCCTACATGCTAGCTTCTCTCTCATTCATGCACTTAAGTGAACACTAGATCTTTTATATTGAATACATCTTTCCTGATGATCTTTTCCTATGCATTTATATCTCTTCTACCTCAACTAATAAGAGTGATGGATGGTTCTTCATTCGGCACCAGACAACAATTGATCATAGTGTTCCATTCAAATACAGATAGCAATTACTACTACAAACTCCCTGCTTCAGAGATTTATATGGTGGTGACATGACTGGATTCCACTCCTACCATGAGATTTCACAACAACAGTGTCACATGTAATAAATAATATTTTTTTCAATATAAGTTACAACTTACGGTATTATGGCTGAAAAACACAGTATAAAATCGCTCAAGCTGACACTGCAAAAATATGCTTCAGCTTGCCTTTGAAATTCAAAGTCTTAAATTGCATTGTTCTGGCAAAAAAACTGTGGATTTTTCTTTAAGTCTGTGTTTTATTAAATCCACAGATTGATGTCTGAACAGAAAAAGATAACATTATCCCCCAAAGTAGGTGGTATTTCCTTAAATGAGGAATAATACTAATTATTGTAAAGGATTACTGTCAAATGTTATTGTGATCATTCAAATACAGAAGAGACTAACACCACATGCTTTAAGGCACTGTGTAAAGTTTAGATGAATATTTTCATTTCTTACTCAAACTATACTACAGCATGACATATTGTCTTGGCAGCAGAAAGTCTAAGCCTAGCATTAAGTTGATTCATCGATCGGTGGAGTATTTTCTTTTCTTGAAGTTCTATGGCAGGTCAAGAAAGTAATCTGTATTGAACTGTATAATTAGCTTGCTATACAGAGAAACCAGAAGAAACATTTATAACTTTACTATCATTTGGATAACAATGGAAATTTCTCTACAGCTATTCATTCCTTCACTTGTTGAATTCTGTTCATGTCTGAATATGAGATAATGTCCTGACTCTTTGAGCACAGCATTTGAGATCAGAAACTTCATATATTCTCATATTGAATTCTATGGCCTTGAACAAAGACATTAATGTATTTCTTTCCTGTTCTATCTGTAGAATGTGGCTATTCATACTTAAGTGCCTCTTGCATTAATTGTAGTTATTAATAGTTGTATTGATTAATAGTTAATGAATTCAAAGTCTTTTTGTGGACAAAAATAGTGCAGAGAGGAAACTGGAATTTCAATTATATTAAAAATGTGAATTGAAAATGTATTAATGTTCCAAACTACAACAAACCCCAAGAATTTTGAAACTGCCTGAAAAACACAGAAGCCGCACTCGATTTTGTTTCAAGATAATATTTTCCATTACAAAATATAATGGACTAATGAAGAAAATTACAAAACAAAAAGTTACTTAAAAAAATCCAACATATTATTTTTTTATTAATAACTGCTTGTCAAAAATACTGATCAACTCTAGTTTCACATGTCACAATTAATCTTACATTGGTGGATCACCTTAAAGCCAACAAAAATGGTTTCACTATTAATCTATCAAGAGCTAAGTGATAGGACAGTCCCAAAATTACCCAGAGCCAAAAGAGCCTCAACACCCTATATACACAACTTCATACTTCTTCAGCTCCAGGTCCTGTGTCCCTTGCAAATCAATTCATTGTCTCCATCACAGTAATTACGGCATTCTTAAAAACAAATTGACTTGTCAAGTTAGTTCCTCCATCACATCCTCAGTGTCTTCAGTGACATTTCTTTTAACAGAGAATGACAGTAGGTAGAAAAAACAGTAAGCCTCCACCTGTCCCAGTCCCCCTTCACTACAGGGACCGCAACAAGGTCAGGATTCTACTTCCTTTTGTTTAAAATCATATATGGAAAATACCAAAATAGGAAAATAGCAATTTATAGTCTTAATCTCATTTTATCACCACTGTTGACACTGGGCATTGTTTAGTCTCTGCCAATTTTGAAGAGTATTCACGTTAGGACAAAAAAAAAAAAAAAACATCATCAGCAGCAATGGTCACCTACTAACTCCAGTGTAATAGCAAAATCAAAGTGACACATAGATAACAAACCAGTTTGGCTACTTATAACTGTGCAGCCTTGCAGCTGACTTTATCCAGCTGCAAAGTAATATAATGTGTAATCCAGGGTGAGAGACAAGCAAGATTAAAACCAGCAAGTTTGAAGAAAGGGAGTTGACTCACAAGGGAATGCTCTACACAACAGAGAAGATATAAAGCAAAGCCTTTCAAGACTCCTTGAATGTGGCTCTTTTTCTTCTTCTTCTTTAATAAAAGGTTATCTTTCTCTCTACAGGCAGTTCATGAAACAGTGATCAGCATATACTGTCCTAAATCCCCAGTTGATGTGCGCTACGTTATTCTGCTGGTATTGCTGGCAAAGCCCCTCAGGTCCTGTAAACCAGTCTATGAGACCTTAATAGAAGTACAGAAATTTACACCAGTGGAAACTCTGCTCTAATGACCCTACAATGATTTATACCAGCTAAATGTCAGAACCCACTAGGGGAAATAGAGATGAACAGTCTTGAAAGAATAGCATCAAGAAAAATGTATTTTTCCTTGGGCACAATAGCTAGAATAACTAAAACACTGTTATACTCATTAAGGACACTGCTGAAAAGCCATAGGAAAACTGAAGTACTGATCAGCTCCTCAGTGTTCCAAGGCAACACTGAGACAGAGAACCTGGAGAAATTCAAACTCACACAACCAGAATTTCTCTGCGGAATTGCTACCACGAGCCTGAGAGGGCTGTCACAGCCACTGGTATAGACATTTTCCTCAGGCATGTTCTGTAGGTCACATCACCAGTCTATATTTATTAAATGCTCTACCAGCAAAATTATCATCAGGTTGCTACTATCTGCAGTGGGTGAGAAAAGCTTCCTTCCTTTTATTTTTGTCTCTTGATCTTTCTTCCCCCCCCCACTATTTCAGTCTAAATGTCAGAAACTGACATATGGCCACTCCTTCCATTACTTTACCAGTGTCACAGCAAAGTAATATGTGAAAGCCCTGCACAGTAATCTGCAGCCTGGGTCCTTTTTATGACAAACAAATATTTAAGGACAAGTCTCACAAGGCTTTTCTGCTTGATCTCGTTTGCGTTATTTCAGTCTGTAGCTTTATATAAAATGAAAGCCTCTCTAGGGAATTAAATATCAAATAATAGTAAGTTTTTTCCAATGTATCCAATAGTTTGTCTACTTGTCCTCAAGTCATTGAGGAAGACACTTTAAATACTTTAAATTTGATAAAAACCTGTATAGTCTATTTTTACAAAAGTAATGAGGCCTTATGGCTTTGCACAGATATTTTACTTGAAATAATTTTCTTCTAAGAGCTAGGATGCCTTTTATAACATACACATATTTTAAAGGAACTCATAAAAATTAAATTTTATAGGCTACAAATTAAACACTATGCACTGATGAGATGTGTATGTATGTCACAGGTTTAGTATGTGTCACAGATAAATACAAACACATAATTACTTGATGGTACAGGCTTTATAACATATAACTGTAAGTAGACTCCTGGAATTGTCTTTGAGATTTTAGTAGCAAGTCATTAACTCTCTGAACTATTTAGGGATGGAACCTTAATAGGTTCCTATTTAGTTTAGGAATATTTCCTTGGCAGCCTGATCCGGTAGGAGACTAAGCCATTAAAACAGCATAGTATTGTGGTTTTAAGTGTCTGAACGTTAGTTCTTTTGCTGGCTTGTAACCTGTTCCAAAAGAAATGAGCAAGAATTAAGGAAGAGTCTAGATTTTCATATTTCCCCCTATCCTTTCTTCTAATTACCAAACAAGTATCAAACCAGCATCTTCAGTTGCTTCACCTTCCTCTAAAACAGCTGTTGCCAAACAACGCTGCATGGATCATCAGATACCCACACCATACTTTCTGGTGGTATGAGAAGATTTAGTGAGTCACTGCCTGCCTCTTTACCACCTGTTATATTGTATTGGAAGCAGCTGAGAAAAGTGTATTATACATCCCAATTGTTAATGCGAAGAATTGCCATTAGTGGACATATTTTGTTCAGTCAACAGTGAAGGCAAGAGAACTCTGCCTCAAGAAACTACCCTGACACACCAGTACACACTGTTCATGGTAAGTCACATGAAGCAGTTGTCCTTGGTGTTGTACAGAGGTTCTGCTGCCTGTTTCTACATCTAAGGTTGTAGAATGAATGAAAATAAACACAGATTTCTGACATCAAAAACCTCAGCCTCTTCCAGTGCAGTTAAAGACAGACTCTTCTGGCTAGGAGTCATAAGCAAACCTCTATGTGTGCTGAGGGCAACTACTAGAGACACACATATACTAATTCAATATATTTAAAGCATATATTTCTTTCTTCTTCCCCACAACCTCTCCCCCAACCATTAAGTAATAATTAATGGATGGAAGTAGAACAAGTATACTGACCTCATCAACATTCTCAAATGCATTGATGACATCATATGGCAAGCATGAGAGCAGATCGATCACAAACCACGTCTTCAAGTAATTCATGCGAATCAGCTTTGGGTCAGAGATCACCTCTCCTGCTGGCCCCACAAAGGTGGTATGGAAATTAAGCACAATGTCTACCAAAAAAATGACATCTACAATGCTGTCAACTACTAGCCATGCCACGTTGTTCTGTTTGGTTTTAAAGGAGACATTGTAAGGGACCAAAATAGCAGTGTAGAAGGTTAAAATCAAGATGATCCAGTCCCATGTAGTCTTGAAAACACAATAATGCAAAATTATATGTGGTGGAGTCTTTGGTGCCTCTTGTTTGTACTGTGGGAGGATTTCGGAGCCCAGCTGCAACACCTGTAGTATAGAGATTTCAGGAGAAACAGAACATATGCTTAATATTTTAACATTATTTTTCACACTGTAGATTTGCAAGCTCAGTACAACAGTTGATAAAAATACATGTGCATTAACTTCTTTTATAATTACCAAATGGTAAGCAAGTCAGAATAAGTATTCTGTTGAACAAATCAGCATCAGTCTGTTGCTGTTTCTTTTAATGCCATTAATTCTTTTTTGACACCAAGCCTAATGCGTAGGTTCTCCAAGAAAATACTACAACTTCTGAGTTCCAGTCCAGCACCACGACCACGGGACCACACTGTTTTTCAATATTATCTACTTAACTCTTCACTATATCATATTTGAAATAGTCTTATACTGCAATCTATCATGAATGCAGAGGCTTTCATTCTTCTTCTCTGGGCTGTGCAGGACCAAAGCCCATGGTTAACTAACATTAGCCTCAATAAATTCATCTTGAACTGTAACTTTTCACTGAGAAAAGATCAGTGTCTTCACTCTCTGATGGTGTACAGTCAAGTTGCAATGCAGTTAGGTCTGAATTCAAAAAAGCGCTACAGCAAAAAATGATCTGTCAGCATGTGTTTTATGATCATTTATTCAATTCTTGGGAACTAAAGTTTCTTTTACATTCCTATGAACAAGAATGTGTTTGGTTACATCTATGAATACATATGAGGGTGAAACCAGCATGAAGAATCTGTCTCCAAATAAAGATAAGTTACATTTTAAAATGAAATTTACCTTGAATGAGCTATGGGTGAAAACTGAAAGGAAGATGGGAGTTTTGCTTGAGTGAGATGTGTTTGCTAATGCCAAACTCATAGAACCTGGGAGAACTATTTAGGAGCACCATTCCTTTTTCACATTTATTTACACATAGTTCAGAGCAACAGGAAGCACAGAAGGAAATTAAATGGCCACCTTCTCAGGGAAAAGATCAGACAACATAGCTATAATAGGAGGATGTCTTCCTTTCACACTCCTTATCTCAGCTTTTTTAACGTCTATTACTGAGACACTTATTTTTATCTGCAGACTTTTCTAAGTGTTTTCTGGTTGGTTTGTTCATTTTTTTTGTGGCAAACTGGTGGGCTTTTTTCCAAAAGAATAAGCCAAAGGGGACAAAAGAAAACAATCAGCTACAAGAGTCCTACTTGGACAAAACAGCCTCAGATCAAGTTCCCTGCTGCTTTGAATATCACATAATCCCTTACTTTTGTGCACAACAGAGGTGAGACACTGTGAGATCACAGCCCCTTGCACATCTGTAAATGACAAGAGGAGTTGCAAGCCTACTGACTTTGAGTCCAGAATGTTCTCCAGAAGAGAAGTATCATTACCTGCTCAGAGACCTGCATGTTAGCACAGCAGCATCAACAGTTTAAAAACAGTTTAAAAAAAAAAAAAAAGACTTAGAATTTTTGTTTTAAACCAAACAAATAAACAAATAAAATCCCACCAAAAAAAACCCCAAAGTTGCCTTTTGGCGGGAGATGCCAGAAGCAGCACAAGATAGAAGCAGTCCTTCTCTGCAGGAGGCACTGGTCAGTCAATGTAGTCCCCAGAAGTCACTGGTAGTGACAGGAAGAGGCACAGGTTGGGTACTGAGTTAGAAGGTGTACTCAGAGCAGTGTCACCTTCAGGGTTTGGTTGCAGCGCCAGCAACAAATGTTAGGACGTCTTTTCTTGACAAAAACTCTAGCCCAAGCTCAACATTGCAAATACCCCCTGTTCTCCCTATTGAACAGCACAGTTGAACCTGAATCAGTTGGAGAGCACTGAGCTACTACTGGCTTTTATGAGGGTTTGCATGAGTAGCAGCTCTAACATGAGATCCCAAGCCTGAAATATGCTTCACTGGGCATGGGGAGTCCTCCGCAATATTCACTCACTGGAATAACTGATCAACAAAACCAAGCACTTTCTATCACATAGTAACATTTTTCAGTCAGTTAACTGGATTTCAGTTCTAATGCTGAGATCTTGCTAGTGTGGGTAGACTGCATCACTCCTTAAATGCAAGGTGAAAACATAATTGCTTATTTGCAATCACATGTCTCCTAGAACTTATTTTTTTAGACTCTGATCTTATTCTAAAAAGTTAAACATTCTGGTAACATTCTCATCAGCACTGGAACCCCAACCATGAAACACTGAGAAAAAAAATTGTTAGTTCTTGTCAGTTTGATTCTTATTTTATATATATGTGTATATAAATATAATGTATATATACTACATATATACACTATACCATATGTACTTATACATACATATGTACATATCTATATTTATATATATATATAAAAAATATACTCCAGTTTGGCCACTGCTGGTCTCTTTGTACTCCAAGAACTTTTTTGCATCATCCAAACAGAAGTTACTGGAAAATGTACTAATGGATTCCCATATACCTGAATAATAGGAACAAAGGCAAGAACAATCTTGGCTTAGCAATACAGAAGGGAATAAATTATGATGTCTGTTGTTTTGCTGTAAATAAATAAAATACATTAAATTCAGTGGAACTGCAAGGATATAAAACTTAACTGAATGCAGAGAAAAACAGACTTCTAGTCTCAACTTGTTAAGAAAAAAAAAAACAACTTTGCTGCTTCAGTGTATTAAAATGTCATCACCAAGTACAAAGCACTCTCCCCTAGCTTGTTTGAGATTCAAAGGGCTACAGCACAGGAAAATGAAAGGATTGATGTCTCCTTCCCTTTTTATTTAGAAAGTAAATGTACTTCAAACTATGTGAATGGCTAGGGACCTTATTAATAAGTCTTTTGAACTTCCACGACGACCTTGGACTCTACTTAAGCTCAACCAATGGCTATTTAAAGTGATCAGGGGCCATAGCTTTAGCTGGTCTCCAATGGAAGGATGTCCACCAGCAGTATGGGTATGAATCTCAAAAGAAGGGGCAGGAACAGGGCAGGAGATGAGCATCAAGGAATGACGTAGGGATATCAATCACTTGCAAGGCAGGGAAAGCCACCTGCAGCAAGCAGGGGGAGGGGAGGGGTTCAATCTTTTGCTTGGGTGGGGGTGAAAAGTCCTAGCCCTGGCTTCCTCTCACTACATCACTAATGTGCACATTATAAAACCACTCCAACATCTTGCTGGCGTTGCTAGAGAGATGAACTGTTACATCATAGATTGAGATGGAAGAAGGGCACTGTCTTGACTCATGCTACCTTTCCCAGGAAAGGCAACTTGCTTTACAGATTGCAAAGTTCTTGCAGCCTCCAAGACTGCCAGCCAAGAGCTTTCAAAGGCACCAAAATCTTCTTTTCATTGAAGGAAGAGAAAAATCACTGCAACAAAGCTTAATTATCACAGAGAATAAACACGCGCTTTTGGTGTTAAGTACAACAAGAGAGCACAGCGCTGTACAGAAATAATAGAGCTTAGTGCTAAAGCTCTAGGTTTTGTCAGACTGCTGCACTGGAAGTTAGGAGAGCTCTTTGCTCCGCTTTTCACACCAAAGGCCACATACAGTCTATTTCTTCACCATACTTCCAGACACACACACATCACCCCTGAGTCATCTGGAGACTAAAAGCTACAAACTCCACTCTCTCTGCATCATATAGCACAGCCAGGTAGATGCAAAGGGACGTATCTCCTGTCCTATTCCAAGGTGCTCTTGCTGCACCTCCAGCCTCTAGGGAGAGTAGTGCTAACCTGAAACCTGGTATTTGCTAAAGCAGTCATGTGGTTACCCACCCACACAAACTAACTAGATTCAAACTGCTTGTAAAGGATCTTTTCCTGGAGAGGGAAAGAAAAAAAAGAGATATTAATATAAAAGTAATCATGAAGAAAATGTACACAACTATAAAAACTGATATGCTGAGCTTCCACCCATTTGCACTAAACAAATCTTTCATTACTATCATTTTCTAAATAACTGAAACAGCTCTGGTTTTGGAAGATTTTTCTCAATTATGTAGTTATACCATAGTAAAAGAAATACTTGTTTCAGAAAGTTATTAGTGAAAGTATAATTCCAATTACTTATGATTCATCAGCCACTACAGTTGTATTATCTGCATTTATTATTTGTGATAATGATGCATGATGTTTTAATAGCCCTCTAAAGCTGGAGAATATTATTTCAAGAGTAGAAATTACTAATTTAATAATGGCTTTCACAAGGCTCTGTTCATTTTTTTAATGTAACAAACTTCAAAAATATATACTCTAAATTTTTTAAAAATTGTGAATATATCACCAGTCAGGACTCATGAAAGTGCATTAACAAGCGGTTACAATGATTTATTTCTTTTTAAGACTTGGGGGGGGAACACACAAACAATAATTCATTTTCAGCTTAATCCTTCCCTTTTGTGCTTTCAACTGCACACGTTTGCTTTCTCTCACTCTCCTCTGCTTTTGTTTCCACAGGCACCCACACAAATTGCTCCCAAGCCAAGGGCTAGATGCTAAGCCTGAACTTGAAGTAGATTTTAATGGCAGTTATAAGTCCTTGATAAACAGGGCTTATCAAAAAAATTGCAGAATTTCCATTATTAGGCAGTGCTGCTAAGCACCATTATAATTTTTCTGCTTTTATTTCTCATAACTATCACATTTTTTAAGATTATGACACCATCTTGTTTACCCAGAACTGCCTGTTAAATGTACAGAATACCTCAGCTAACACTATAGGTGCAGAGGACACATGTACCATGCAGTGCCCAGGAAGAATGGTTCCTACAATAGCTCCTTGGTGATAAGGCCACAGAAATTTATTGATTACTTTATACACTTATTGCAAAATGTACTCACAGTGTTACCTAACACCCTTGCATTAATTGTATAATTAATTTAAGCAGTTTTCATATGACTGCTATTAGAGAAGTCAGGCTAAACAAATCTATACATACTGGCAAAAGTCAGAGAATGAGGCTTAAAAGACGCTGCTTGGATTATCCATGGACTCTGGATAAAGCAAAGTAGTTTGCTACTAACACCTTTCTTAAACTAGTATTTCATAAATTATAAAAGAAATTGCAAGCTTTTGTGCCAGGCTCCCATTTTATGTTTGTACAACACCTTGTCTCACCCAGGTTCTAGGACATATCTGGCTCCCCAGATACTCAAAAATATATGTGATAAGGGACTAAGAGCAACACAAATAGTATTCCAATAAATGAAGAGCTTTCTTGAAAAAACAAGACTTACGTGAAATGCCAGAGCGAGTAGAAAAAGGATGAATTTTAATTTGAACTTAAATTTCAAATAGGCTACTGCAAAGGTGAAGGGGGGAAAAAAAAGAGATTTGAAAATACAACAGGGAATTGTTAGAGATCCCATGTTCAATATTATGGAGACATCTTTCCAGAATAAGGAAGAACAGTGGGCTTGTCTGTATGATTATCTGCGCTCTGCTTTTCTCCAGTGTAGTGCTATTGACTTAAGTGGAATTACGGCAGATATACAACAAGACATCTAACATCACAGCTGGGGCTAATGTTCTTTTTAAAATAATGACTGCAATATTCTGTCGGCAATTAAAGAAAATCATTTCAGACGTGAAAACTATACACTTGTCCTTTATTATTCGTAATGAATCAAGTGACTGTGGCAGTTAGAATACTTAGCAAAGACTTGTTGAGCACATTGGCTTGCAAAACGTTTTCAGTAATGTGTAGTCACTTAGGTCCAGGCTGAGGTGCACTGACTCAAACAGAATAACCTCAGATCCTTTGCCTTACATTCCACCGCCTACATTTTAGCATGATTTAAAGGGTAGACATCTAAAGGGAAGGAAGGAATATTTGTTGCTAAACCTTGAGAAGGATTAGGAGGCAGGCTATTCCCCAATTCCAGGCCACTAAAGCAATCTCACGGTGGACATGTGATAATCACATGGTATTTCTACAGTATAGCGTCCATGTAGATGTCTGCTCCTTCTCTGTGCTACTGTGATCTGTTATTTCTCTACTTCCAGCAGAAATCAGTTTTCCATTCTTGAGTATATTTGTGTTAAATACTGAAAAGGTAAGCTCCTGTCCATGGGAATTTCATTGTCACATGTGATAATAAAACAGACCTAAGCAGGAGTTGTTTATTTTGCATATAAATTATGACAGGGCAAAATTAACAGACTACTGACTATATGAAGACCACATGGGGCCTATCAATGGCTACACAGGAAGAGTAAGAGTTATTGACAAGAGTCACAGCTGCAGCCATGGCATTCACAGCAATAGCTGATACAGAAGTGTCATGTTATATTGGCCATGCTGTCATTAACAGCATTATCAAGATTTTCCCTAAGCTGTTTTCACCCCAAGGGAGACCCTGCTACAGGAAACCTGGGACAGCTCTCCCCCTCGTGGCAAAAGTCCTAAAACTGTAAGTACTTCAAGGAGCCTTTCCTGCCTGGAGCTTTTCTTAGGACTTTGAGTCTACTTAAATCACAAGGTTTCATTTTCCTAATTTGTCTGCGGTGTTGCTTGTGGCATCTTACAGCTGTTCTGTCCACAAAACCAGTAACTCAAACATATGTTTTAACAAGTTTTATAGCAGGATTGGGATCCCACTGAAAAAGAACTAGACATAAATAAAATGCAGAGAAAATCCATGTCAAGGATTTTCCTGAATTTCCTTCAGTGCTAGCCTGAGTTTTTCTCACTTCAATTTTACACAAGTGAATAGTCCAAGATCCTACTAACACTAAGATCCTCAGAAGGATGGAAACTAAGCAAGAAAGTACTACTTTAATAATAAAACCATCATAAGACTTTGCTGAGATGTGCAACACGACACTGCAATTAGGTTACATGGAGTCTTTTGGACACCCATTTTTATTCCATTGTCACAGGACACATTTCACAGCACATGCTATATTCTGAGCCATCATGATGACCACCAGGCTTCAGACTCCCAGGGCAAGGGAGACAGACAGTGCTTGGCTCACCCAGAGACAACATATCCATAAAGACTAAAAACATTTCATTTTGGTCTCTCAGGGAAAGAAAACGTTACCTCAGCAAGACGCGAATGCTTGTGAACATTCTCTCCTTTCTGCACGCTCGGAGCAAGCTGCTGCAGCACGCCTCGGCTGCTTGTGAGGGCACGCGTCAAACGAGCAAACTTTCCCCAACCTTGAGAAAACATGCAAGATTATACACATTACCAGAAAAGCTACAAGTGTACCACATAAAGCCTCATGACCACAAGTGAGTATAATTTAACCAAGTACCACATAAGAGCAAGTCACAAGATAGGTGTCGGGTGGTAAAACAATGAAAACCATGACTGCAGAGACTTAGTATTCAATGGCTTTATGAGAGTGCTGTTACATGAACTGCATCTTCTGTAAGGATAAATGTCCACTTCACAATAATCTTCTATTAAACCCAATGGGCAGATTCAGATCTCTCACTACTGCAGAAAACACTCCAGACTAATCAAGATGTAAGACTGGAATCATGCACAATGAAAATTACAGTTGCCTGTAACAAGAGTGAATCTGGCCTCAGATGTATCAAACATAGATCTGGCATAAGCAGAAAAATATACATAAGATAACAAAAAGCAAAGCAGACAAAGCAAAACAAAATCATTAATTTTATCCTCTCTAAACAAAAGGGGAAAATATACAAATAGAATTTCTCAAACTCTAATAAAACATTTAGCAACTTCTGGCAGAGAAATCATATGCTGAATTTTAATCCAGTATATTTTTTACAGTCATTTCAAATACCCCTCAAAATAGAAGACCTTGAATGACAGTCACAAGAGCTTTTTACAACTATAATCTTTATGAGCAGTACTTTGCCATAACACAGAGTCAGGCAGAGTACACATCTGGATATTTTTGCTACTCTGAAAGGAAAGTATCAGTGCATTTAGTCCCAGTGTTGAAAAATGCTAGCACCACCTGGGAACTGTTGAGCAGTCTCACCTCCTGCAACTGAGGATGCTCAGCACTTTGCAAATTCAGTTCTTAATGAGAACCTCATTCTGGAAAAAGTTCCCTCCACATTACAGTTTTATCACCAGAAGAAATGATACTACTAACAGTTTTTAAAGACCAGTCTGAAGTTTAGCCTGCAGATGATCCGTGTCAAATACACAAATATGGATGGTTAAAATACTGCCTAGTACTTTGAACATATCCTTGATTAACATCTCACTTTGATGGATTTTGCAGGAACTTATTTGGTAATTTGAGAGGTCAACACAAAAGATAAACAGATTACATTAATTCAGTCTTGAACAAGATCTTACACGTCAGACTTGAAAAGAGAGCTTAGCATTTTCTCCTTTACAAATATGCAAAATGGTGCATTTACTAAGGGAAGGACTGAATTCATCAGTCCTCTCCAAAATCAAGAATAAAACTGAATATGTTTTTATGCCTTAAAGCACCTTTTAAAGCAAGTCTGTCACCAGTAATTTAATAGTCAAGTTAAGCAGAACAAGTCAACACTTTCAGACAGTATTCAGCAGCAAGAAGATTGAATGATTTCCATCTAGGAAGCCAGATCCTTCCTGATAAACCCATGTAATATTAGCTACTATAATAAAGGACTGTTTCTCAGATAAGTAAATCAACATGACAAAACCTAAAGTGAGGTCAGTTTGCATATGTTATACACCTGACCTAAAATCACTTGATTTCTTCCAGTACATTTCCATGGAAGGTGATGGGTTTGGTTTTGGGTTTTTTTGGTTTTGTTTTGGTTTGGTTTTTAAGATACATTTATAAAGAGTATTCTTTCTCTACTGTATATGAAGAAATCCAACTGCAATTGATAAGGCTTGAAGGTCTTACTACTTTCTGAGTAAAGCCAGTAAAGAATGGATCAGGTGAGAGAAAACATTCATAACGGCTAATCTGCAGCTGATATAAATCAGAATAGCCTTTACAAAGCCAACACAACTACAGCAATATATACCAACCAAAAGCTTTGCTTCTGTAGAATTTATATGCCAGAACTACTATGTTTTCTTCCTGTTTTACAGGCATATGGGAGGAGGCTATCAGCATCGGTATATTTTCAGCGATGTAAATCCAGACTGATGAGGCCCAAGGGGGTTGTTCCAAGAGGATATAAGCGTTTTCCAGCTGCTGGACGGGGAGGGCGGGAGCGGGCGGGGAGGCGGGAGCAGCCCTGGGTGCTGGCCGTGGTGCTGAAGCCAGGGCCTCGCCGGCTGCAGCCCGGCAGCGCTGGCGACAAACAGAAGAGACGAGAGAGTTCGTGCTTCACATGGGAACTCGAAATCTGCCTTTCTTACCAGACACAATGTTTTTAACGCCAGTTAACAGCCAGCCCCTTTCACTAACTCAGAACAGGTAGAGCATTTTCCTGGAAGATTCAAAATTCGGTTCAAAACCTGAGAAAAAAACCTTTGAGTGTGTATTTTCTTCCCACCATCAAGTTTTCTAAGGGGGCTATTCGGACACAAAGAGGGAAGGAGAAGGAAGCACCTCACCTGAGCTTTCTCGTGCAAAAGCACCGACGAACATCTCTGCGGCATGGTTTGCAGCTATGAATGCTGAGCCACCTTCGGGTGCCTTCCCCTCCTCCCCAGAGGTATCTCCTTTTGAAAGGTACAGCTTAACCCATTCCTCTGACCTCAGCATTGCCTCTAAGCACCTCCCTTGCCCTACATGTTGCAAATCTCATTTCTGGGTGCATGAATAGTACGCAGATGAACTGTTCCCATGAAGATGAGATCTCTTGCCATGTGCTCCAAACTCCGATCTGAAAACAATCTAAATGTATAGGCAAGAGACTCAGTGAAGAGGAAGGGCTTTTTAGCTTGGCTCTTTGAACCAGTGCAGATCTGAAAAGAGCAGGCTGGGAGTATATATCCTAGCTCTCTCCATACATTGGGTACAGCACATGGAAGCCAAGGTTGGAGTTGCACATGCCCCTCTGTTGTTGTTGTGGAGTTGCATATGCCCCAAACCAGACACCGAATCACTATGCAAGTGTCCCAGGTGTATGAATCTCCTATTTAGGACAGAGTACTCTCCTCCTTGTATTGCCTTTTTTTTTGTCCGAAAGGAAGATAAAAATGTGGGAACTTCAAAGTATAATTATATTAGTTCTGTAGAATGTGGCATAAGAAAATTAAAATGAACGAGAGAATGCCAGGACTAATCGTATTGAATTATAACTTCTTCAATACTGCTTGAAAAGACAACAGTACCTGTTGAATTTATTCCAGAAGCCTGACAGACACAGCCTACAGCAATTCAGATATTCATCCAGTGCAGACAGGTCAATTAATGGACTTCAGCCACAGGAGAGAACATAAGCATTACATTCTAAGAGTCATGGAGCTGACTACAGGAAAAAGATGGAGATTTTCAAGACCAGAAACTAGGTTTCAGAATGGTGTAGGAATATATTGATGTTAGTCCTGCTAGGACAAAGGGACCAGGTGACACAGATTAGGAGTTGTCTTTCAACGCAAATAGTTGGTATATGCCTACATCCATTCTTTTCCTCTAGAAATAGATAAAATATAAATTCAATTGAAATCTAATGACTCTAGTAGCCTCTTACACAGGTGTATACATTCCTCAAACAGACAAGACCTCACATAGCAGAGAAGGCAGCTTGCACTTCAGGAACAAAACAAAGCTGGATGCCAGCCCCATGGTCGTGCTCGCTTGTGTCTCTGTCTTTGATTCTAACCCATTTTTATCACTGTTTGATAAACCACTGTTTGGTTCTGCAGAAAACATCATGAAGGGACAAAGCAATGAGACGGCACTAAAACATCTCCAGCTTCAAAAGGATGAAGAACCTTCAAGATTAACAGCACTGATTTCAACTCTCCTGCATTCCATGATGCTTTCAGTTTTCCACCATTTCATTGTAAAAAGCTGAATAAAAGCTGCTTCTGAAAACATACAAGAAGACAAGATGCCTACAACAGGGAAAAAGCTGTCCCCTGAGCTTTGTTTCATGGGGAAACAGGGCATTGAAATAAACATGTGAGATATGATGTTTAACTCATCAAGACTTCTCTTCTTTAAGGGATGAAGCTACATTTAATAATGCTCTTAAACTGAAGAAATTTTCTGTATTTTCAGGTGAGTGTGTTCTGTTGATACTCAATCCACCACAACATTTATTATTTATTTGTAGGTAGTTATATGTTTCCTACCACTTTGCTCAGTTTGATCATGATGACTCGTAAATTCAAACATTAGAAACTGTGGCAATTGCAAAACCCTTGTTACCAAGTTGCTGATCCATGACTTAAACAGCCTCTGGAGCTAGAACAAGGAGCCATTGCCTGCTAGAGAACAAGCTCATTTGGTCACAGGTCTATTGTTCATACAGAACTGTGTAAATGTAAGTCAGGATTCTCACTTCCCCTCAAACCACCTTTGTTTTCTTGCATATTAAAGGTCCCTGCTTATATCCATCATGCCTCTCAGCAATGTAAATGCTCCCTTTGAAACATCATGACTAAAACAGTCTTATTTTTTCCATCTGGACTGTGAAAGCATACTAGAGTTTTTTAATACACTCACCACTTCCCTTTCATTTGTTTCCTTTTTTAAGAAAACATTTCATCTAGGTGAAAGTGGAATATAACTTAATCAAAGTATTTCAAACACTGGCGCTGCTCATATAAATACATCTTTAAAAACAGAACAAAAAATCAAACGGCAACAACAAAAAACCCAAACCAGAAACAACAAAAAAAAAAAAGGAAAATGAAAAAAAAAAAAAGGAAGCACTTGGAGTTCTCTCTGAATTAAGATGGAGGAGGCAATGAAAATACTGTTTTTTGTGCAGCCCTGCTCATGATGCAAAGGACAGCTTAGCTGCAAAATGAAAAAGCTTTTTTCTGCAGAGGAGATGATAACTGATGATCGCTACAAAGCACAGGAGGCTACAATAGCTAGAAGGCTAAGAGCATTCTCCTATATGACTCATTAATGCTGAATTTAATCACCTTTCTGTATAAAAACAAATTATCAAAAGCAAAAATTAGGATGCAAGGCATAATTAACAAACTTTTATAAAGCAGCATAGATGCATCTGGATACGTTCACATCGTATTAATACCTGCAAAGTCTGTTCACGCAAACTTCTTACTAGCTACTCAGAGTGCAAGCACAGATTCTGTTCGTCTACATAAATTATTGTTTTCATAAAGTGATGCATTCCACTTTACACACTATTCTCAAATATCTTATACTTGTTGTGTTAGATCTCAAAAAGATATATACAGACAAAATGCATGAATTCCAAATATAGCATATACTCTAAAATTCAGCTAAGAAGGTGACCTATCACTTCACAAGCCAAATATAGCTATGCTGTAGCTTGATTCTGCTTACTTCAAGTAAACCTTTTTTCCTGATTTTTTCAAAGGGGCAAGCATACGGGAAAGAGCGGAAAGAGGCTGTTTAAAAAATATTATATCATCAACATCATGGAAACACTATTTTTAAGTTGCTTTATTTAGAGTGCACTATTTTTAAAGCTGCTGCATTTAAAAGCAAATTTACTTAACTTCTATGACAGTCATAAAATAAATATCTTCTAAATTATCTGAAAAAATTAACAAAGAGACTACAATTAGAAGTCTACTTCTTACAGAACTTTAGAAATTTTCTTTTGTTTCATCAATTTCAATGTCTGATGTTATTAATAAAAAAATATTAAGAATGAAAAATTGTACTGGAACCTTCCAGCTCTGAGTCACCTTTGGGTAAAAGATGCCTATTCATTTTTGTGTACAAGTCAAACATCTATCATTAAAGCTCAACACTTTTCACTCAAGGAGTCACTACATCATTTGCAACTGTACAATCATGCTTGAAATTGCCAGCAGGTGATAGAAAACTAAGATATACTACAGCTAAGCAGGTTTAGCCTGACACATAAGTTGCTCTTTAAATTGACCGTGTTCTTGTATTGCATAACATTTTTCTCTGCATAGACACACAGGAATTGATTTTGAAAAACTCAAATGCTTTATGCTATGTCACTCTGCACCTATGCAAATAGCACACATGTTAATAAAATACCTGCACTTGCAGGCAGTCTATTACATATTAAGTGGTCATATGCACTGGAAACAGATTTCACATATAAACATGATAAAAGAAAAGTAATTAAAGAAAGCTGAAGGTGAAAGAAGGAAAAATATTGTTTTAGTAATGAGTTTTCAGTTGTTCCAATTAAACACAAAATCTCTAAGTTCACAGTTTTAGGTTTTCAGATTGGGTGTTCATTTAGTTTTAGAACACAAGAAACACACCTGTGAAAATTGCTGTACTTCAAAAGCACATTACAAAATTCCTACGCAATGTTGTACATGGTACAAAGAATATGACCTCTTCAAACCTCAGGTCTGTAACAGCAGTGATTCTTAGAAAAAAAGAATATAATTTTACCTTCTATAGATATTCCAAAAATGTTTTTCCCCTCCATGAATCCTAAAGCCCACTGCAGACAATTGTCTAATGCTTCATATCTGCTTTTCTCCCCCCCCACAGTATACAGTTGCACAATGAGATCTAATATTAAACACATGGTAATACATGTAAAATTCTTTAAGAGTCTGACAAATCAGCTCTTCTTTTCCAGGAAATCGCTTATCTAGCCATCAAGCGACTGATACAGTATCATCTCCTGAGATGCATGCAACAAAATTCCAAAGCTAGCCTATAGCAAGTAACTTACAGAAGAAAGGTGTAGGACACAAATTAAGAATTAGAACAGAATGTTCCCTTTCATTTATATCATGTTTGATTTGTGTATACAGCAAAAGAGAACTCTTTACCAGCATGAAACTGGTGCAACTTTACTAATTTTAGATGTTTTGAAGACTCATTTAGTGCATGAACTCTTCTGTACATAAAGTCATAGCACTCAAGGGAAGGAGTAGAGAGCTGTGAATCAGTGGCCTCTAAATAATATGTACAGTCCTGTCTACAACTTTCGGTAGTCACTTAGACAGTTTCCATGGGCCAGATAAAGAAATTTTACTTATTGTCTTAACTCCTTTGTAAGCTGGTGCACTTATATGTAAGTTTAGTGCTTATATTGCTTTAGATGTGGAACTGCTAAGAATTATCACGGTCACTGTATAAGAACAGCATGATTTCAAGATCCAAATGAGATTTAGGGAAAACAAAATGTCCCTTCCCTTCAACACACTTTGCTTGAAAACAAAAAAGTTAGTGTTTCCTTGTGTTGAAAGTGAAGGACAAACTCCTTTCACAAGAGCGCATACCACTATCACATTAAGGATCTTCTGTGAAAGCAAAAAGAATAGACACAGCTACCACCACTGACTGAAAGTCCAGCTTATCAACTGATTAAATGAAGCAATGGCCTTCACTCCCAGTAAATAAATGACAGCCATCTTTACTGCATCATTGAAGTAAATACTGTAGATTTATCTTTGCTGTCCGTTCTCATCAGAATATAGTGAAGACCACTAGGCAGAGAAAAAAAATTACTGTAGATGCAACCTTTCCGGCAAGATATCATTTTTTTAGTTTTATTAAAGCAATGAAGAACCAGACAAATAGCATTAAAAAGAAAAAAATAACCCACATAGCCTGGAAGAAGTTATGTTTGTCAAGGTTGTACTTCCTTTTTCATGGTAACAGGTGTTTCCACTTTGAGAAACTAAGTTTTTAAAGAATAACATTGTGAGCATAAATGTAAATCAGTTCACCTTCACAGTAAGTTTCCTGTTTAATTTAATACTACAAATATTATTAAATAGTACAAAAATGCAAACAACAGGAGAACTTACGTCTTTTTTTTACCCCAGAGGACGCAAGTGTCTCTAAATCTCCATAGGAGTACAAAATGTCTATTACTGACAGGATCTGAACACAAGTTTATGCTGCTGGCACAGCTGAGTTTGCTTCCAGGTTTCCAGGGTGTCACTCAGCAAAGGGTTAACAGCAAAACACAGCAATGCTACTTCACTCACCAGGACAGCTTAAACCTGATTCAACTTAAGATGACGGAAATCTCTTCACATATGCTAAAGGAAATAGTCCAGAACTTTGATATAAGGAATCCCATAATAACGGTAAGTAGCATCAAGCCAGGAAGAATGAAACTGTTCAGATCTCTGCTAGACTCAGACAGAGTTAATTCCTCAGGTTTTTTTTGCATAGTGTCACATGCAATTTGCACAGGGCCCAAGACCCTCCAGTTCCCTCTAACATCAAAGAAGCTGTTTAGCAACACTGTAACTCCTCGAAGTCTATGCTGAAGATTGGATTAATAATGAATTTAAAAGGAAGAGCAGCACCTATTTGCTACATAAACTCTGCTTCCTGAAGCACTTCGTGGTTTCATTAGCAATGACCCTTTCCAGTGCAGGCCAAAGCCAATTTGCTTAAGAAAGCAGTAACCATTCCTTGCACAAATGCGGTCCCTGGTGGCATAGCTACAAGCTATTTTAACATCTAATTCTTTGGCTTTGGTATTTACAGGACTTCATCTCTTTCAAGACCAGGGCAAACAAACAGAAGCAGCATAAATATATAATTGTGAAAAAGACAAACCTTTACATGAATCATCCTCAATGGGCTGCTTGAAAGCCGTTATGTCATTGAAAGTGCAAAGAAATAAAACCACTTTATCCTGCTCATTTCGAATTGGAGCAATTTTCACAAAGAACCAGACAGGTGTTCCTGGAAACAAACATATCAAAAAGTTGGTCAATGGTAGGCAGAACAGTAAATGTGCTAGTTTAGATGTCTGCACTTCAAAATCAGACATCTGTAAATGTTACTTTAATGTTGGTTTTTTTGCAAACACCTATTAGAGAAAATGACAAAGCAGCTGACAAGAGTCTGAGTTAATTTCTCTGCTCTGCCTCTGATTAGCTTTGCAACCCTCAGGAATCACTCACTATGTCTGGGCTTCATGTACAAAGTGAATACTTGAACTTTATGAAGTGCTCTGTGATCTGCTGAAAGAAGAGTCCCACGTACATGCAAAGGGTGCACTCAACAGTCTTGCTGGTTCTGTGCAACTTGAGAACAGGCCAACTGTGCCCAAACCATGACCATAATACGGAGTCTCAACTCAAAAGCATGACCAGCTTGATTTACCTTATATATCTCTGCAAACAGGAAGCACCATCCCCTAAAAACATCAGCCTATGCTTAGCTTCAAGACCCAGACTCTGGGGGCTCTGGCCTAGCCTGCAAATCCTCCCATGCAAGGGAAGTCCTTTGCAAGCTGCCTTTCAGCTTGCCTCATCCTGAGCCTTCTCACAATCACTCTAGTGTGAAGCAAGACTCCACTGAATTCAGGAGAGAACAAGTCACCAGGACCAGATTGTGGGCTGCAGATGAGAGTAAGCTGTATGGCATAGAACTGGACTTTTCTAACTACTGCAGTAGATAAACTGCTAACAAAAACTGCTTGGGAGACTAGAACCTGCTCATGACAGAAAAATATTATACCAGATAATGACCTTCAGATGCTGCTGTCAATTTTCCTTGACATCTGTCCACACAGATCACCTTGAGGAGAGAAACTGTCAGTCAGCCCTGCCTTTCTGTATCTCTGGCAGTTCTGCTGAGGCTGCTGGAAAGACCCTAGTGACAGCAGTGAAGTTCCATGTTACAAGATGGTGCCTACTGCTCTCATTTCACAGGAGTCACCACACTGATTTTAATGACATTCAAGTATAGGTTTATTGGAGGGCTTCAAACAAAGCAGCTGGCTCCTGAATGTTATAACATGGTCTCCTTGAAGGGATCATTTTTCACTCTGTGGACTTAACTTTGGTGATAAAAAGATGGCTCCTTCAACTGTGAGGTACATGGCAATCAGGGGACTCTCAGGTCACCAGCCCTGGGCCTGCAGGGAGCTTCTACATGAGTTTTCAGACTGTCCCTATATCCTCAATGGTAATGAAAAAACTCATTGTTGCTTTTGCAGGCATAAGAAGTAAGAACCAATGAAAGGATTCAGCTTGCTTGCTGTGAACAACATTTCTCTTGAGTATCCCTTGTGAGCTACGCTTGGAGAGAAGGGTCTGCATACCAGGGGCCAATATAAGACTTATAAATCAGCAGGGTTTTGACTACATGGGAAAGTCAGAATAAGCAGCACTCCATGTAACTTTTGTCACTCATGCAAGAAAGTCTGTTTTAGAAAGGGTGATCTTAGAAGACTATATATTGTCTTTCTTTAGCACAGGACCCTCCTCTAGGCTAGAGATCAGCTTCTCCTTCACCTGAATTGCTCAGTATTTTAGCGAGAGTACTAAAATGGTCTATTTGATGCAATAGTTAGCTCTAACAAGGGCCACTTGTGCTTCCTGACTCTCAATGCCTCACAAGGAAACCTCAGGTAGTTCACAAGTTACTGTTCAGCAAAGCAAGCAAAGCCAGCTTTTTTTCCAACTATGTTAATATAACAGAGGCTGTTGCTACTAGTGCCTCACATGGCTGTTTCCCAACCTCTGTGTTTAGCAATCTTCTCTGGCTACAGAAAGTCAGGGCACCTCCAAGGCCCATGGACAACTTCCATAAATGAAGTTCAATTCCTAAGGCTCCCAACTGTGCCTGCATAGCACAGGCAGTTTCAAACCTTGGCTAAGATTCCATGCCATATGTACAGCCACCTCTATAAACAGCAGGGCATATGATGCATGGAGGCCCCTGCTCAAAAAGCAGAGAAATCCAGATGGAATCACTGGTGGGCATTTCTGGAGCATGCCTGCATGGCAGAAAGCATTCAGGTGTCAATATATGTATAGATATAATTATTTTTTTTCCAAAGAGTTAGCATTCCTGAACAACTCCTTCCAATAACGTATGTGCAAACAAAAATGCTAAATGCAAAAGATTCAGCAAAGTAATTGCGCCAGTAAAATCATCACTAACTTGCTAATGAGCTTACAGGACACTGCCACAAAGCAGCCAACAGCCATTTTCAAGACAGTGACACTCTTTACACCACCCTTTCTCAGAGGCTCCTAAAATTGCCTACCTTCATTTCTTCTTACTTACTTGTTTTTCCTCATCTTCACTTGTGAACTGTTCTGAGGCTGATCAAATCCATATCTCACTTTTACACAGACTCTTTGGTGACTAATTGTTTTTTATTTTACCCACTTCAACACTCTTCACTAATACTGCAACTTTTTAATCAGCCAGGACCTCCATCTACAGTCTTTCTTTTTGATCTCCATCTACATGCACCTGCTTTTTTGATTAGAGATCTTTTTCCCCTCCTTAAAAACACTTTGTATTGTTTTGCTACTTCAAGCTACAGCCATTCTGCTATGTGCTGCTCATAACATTAACCTTCATAGCACTGAGGCTGAATTACACTCTCAGCTTCATCTCTACCTCTCACAGCTATAAAAACTTATTACCCTGCTTTTGAAGATGCTGTACACATCACAGGAACAGAAAGGATGCAGTTCACCCTCTTATTCCAGCTATTTGTCAGATGCATGCTGTCATATTTTTATGATTATGGTATGATATGTTGTTGCAAGATTTTTCTAACATGTTCTGAATGCAGCAAGAGGAAAAACACTTCCTGATAACCTGTAGAAGGCTGCTGCAGGGCAAGGAGCTTATATCAGCAGGGTTCTCACCTTCTGAATCCCTTAACTCCTACTCCTCTGCTGCATTATTTATAGTAAAAAGGAAAACAAAACACTGTTTTACCTAGAACCAAGTGTAGATCTTAGAGATATGCCCCACAGGCAACAAGAAAGAACCAGATGTCTTTGATAGCTAAAAGTAGGTGGTTTTCATGACTGTCACTATTTAGGTACCCCTATAATTTTCAGTTTCAGAATGCCATGAACAGGGTGTATTCCAGGGTAGGACATAAAATCAAGGTGGCACACATGGTCTGTGTAAATCATCTTTCAGTTTTGGATTTACACAATAACAACAGAAATAAGTAGATGGAAAATTATGCCAGGCCATGTACCTGCCTCTCCAACAGTATTCAGTATTTTTCCCTGCAGTGAGTTTCCCACCATCTTTTCAATCTCCTTTGTGAATAGAAGACAAGTGGATACACAAATATAATCATGAGATGAGTGGTCACAGTGCTAAGTTACATGCACTTTCCACAGTGCTTTGCAACCAGGAGCTCATTCATAGCAGAACTGGGATCTGAACTGTGGGAACACACTGAAAGGCTCAGCCAAGATGTGGCTGTGCTCAGCCTTTTTTCCTGCATACTGGTTTAATTATCAGAAGGATTTTACTTTTTAAACCTTAAACAGTTTACTTAACTATTAAACAGGAAAGCTTAAACTATAAACCACTTATAAATCAGGTCGGAAACTAGAATTTCAACCTCCTACAGGCAGCCCTTATACTCTTGGTGTCAAAACGGATGTCCCTGCTCAGCCAGACAATCACTACTGGCAAGAGGCACAAACAAGGCCATTTTAGTGAAAAATGTGATTTTCAGATTCAGCCTACGGGTTATTCAGAGCTCTCACTGCAAAAACAAGAGTAACCTTCCCATATGCCCCCAGTTTGCATTGAAGTACAGCCACGCAGAGACTGTTTACCAGTGTTTCCAACAATACATCTACTTTCATTTACAATTTGTGTTCAGTCCTGGCAAACTCTCACTGGTGAAGTTCAATGATAATGCCAACGCACAAACAAAGAAGTAAACACTCGTGAGCCATGTTGGAATCAACAGTGAAAGAATCCAGAGTTTGTCTAATGGCATAGGACCAATCCTGCTAGGAAAGGGAATCTCACTTCAAAGCTGGTGGAGAGGCAGCATGAACAACTGGGAAGAAATTAAAATCTACAATTAATTTCTGACAGTATCCTGTAGGACCAGCCCATCTCATGGTACTAAAGTTATGTAGCTAATTCTTGAATTAATAAGGGCAGCTCTTAATGGTCTTCAGTGGCCTGAGCACAGGCAAGACAATTTTAAGAGACGTGATTCAGATGCCAAATCTGCTCTAGACTAACACACAGCAAATGTCTCCACAACTTACAATTCCCCATCTATAACACAAATACTACTGTCTCTTCTCTCTCCTCTTTTCCAATCCTGTGTATTTCAACAGTGATATGTTCAGTCTCTTGCCAGGAACACCAGCATTTAACATGCTGTTTAACTGTGGTTGAGGTCCTTCAGAAACTCTCATAGCATCAAAGTGAATGAGACATTAAAGGTCTGTTCCTTATTCCTCATTAAAGGTCTTCTCCCCCTGCAGATACTGATGACACCCTCCTTCACTTTTCCCTCCAGTCAAACAAAAATAAGCTACAATGAATATCAAAATCACTGTCTAAGTGCACTCTTTAAATCATCTAATCAAACAGGTCAATTTACCAGCTGTGTTTCAAAACTACAAAAAGTGCATTGCTTAAATAAAACTGCAATAAACATTTTTTTCTTTCCACAAAGTAAACTGAAATTCATTTATAAATACAATTAAAAAAACACATTTTGACAATTCAGCTGATGTCTTCACTGCCCCTACTGAATGGGGCAAGTTTCTTCAAAGCAGCACCACCTCTGCATCACTTAATAATGTCTCAGACAAACAGCCATCAGACAGGTATTGACCTGAAGGTAAACAGTTAAGCAGTACAAAAATGAAGAGGATAGAAGTATGTGCTGCGTCTCCATCAACTCCTACATGCAGCAATGCAGACAGCAAGACTTCAGT